GGCTCCCAGAACTGGACGCAGTACTCCAGCTGCGGCCTGACCAGTGCTGCATAGAGGGGGAGGATCACCTCCTTGGACCTGCTCGAGATGCATCTGTGGCTGCATGACAATGTGCGGTTGGCCTTCCTGATCCTTGATGGCCAGTCAGAGTCTTCTCCAGCAAGGTGCTGTCCAGAGGGGGGTCACCCACAGGACCTCTAGGTGAATAGGTGGTGTGGCATGGTGCTGGTCCAGATGGAGAGGGTGTCCCACTGGGTCTATCTTTACTGCCCTCTTTTATAGGAACAGACCCTCTGTGACCCTAGTGGCAAGGGGGTGCCCAGACAAGAGTCAGCCCCTGGTGTACTGAGCATGTACACTCCTAGGTAAGGACATACAGTTTCAGGTGTCTGTAATGGTAGGTTGACTGATTTCTCCAGCAGTCTTTGTCTTCCAAATCTTGAGAAAGGGAGGGTCAATGCAGGGTGATGGGCCGTTCAGTTGATGGTTCGGACATTCAGAGGGAGCTATTTTTAGACCCACTGACATTGTCTCTCAAGCACCCTCATTCATCCCCATTCATTCAGGAACCATTTTACATAGGAGGGGTAGGTATGAGTTCACACAGTTACAACAGAGTTACAATAGGGTATGCCTTAGCAGGGGACACAAGATGGAGACTTGACAAACAAAATGGAAACTTGACATGACTTATGCTAACTTACATATGTAGGTTTAAATCATATAGCATAAGTAAAACAGTAATAAAAGAGTACAAATAAATATAAATATAATAAATATACAATATAAAACAATAGATAACCATGAGAGGGCACTTATTTGAAAAGGAGAAAAAATAATAAAACAAACACAACTTGCTACCAATATAAAATGCTGAAGCTTATCCTATGTCTTAGATCACTTATACTTAACTATAGGGAATAGAGAGGCAGAGAAAAAGTCAGAAATGGTAAGGGAAAGGGGAGGGAATGTATTTTTAAACAATAATTAAAAAAGAACAACTGGGGGTTTTGATACATCTGTTATTATAGGTACTAAAATGAATGCACCATAATTATAGTGCATTAGAGAATGTGTACATGTACCCCCAGACATACAGCGGAGAAGAGAGGAGGGGGCAGAGCAACCCAGGGCAAGCCCAGAAGCATGGGAAATACCCATATAGGCATAGCTATAGAATCACAGAATCATGGAATCATAGAACTGGAAGGGACCTGTAAGATCATCAAGTCCAGTCCCCTGCCATGGGCAAAAAGTTATTCAGCTTAGATAAGCTCAACAAGGTCCCTGTCGAGTTTTATCTTGAACACCTCCAAGGATGGTGACTGCACCACCTATGATGTGTTCCAGATTCTGGTGACCCTTACAGACAAAAAGTTCTTTCTTGTATTAGCCTAAATTTACCCTCTTTTGTTTATGCCCATTGGTCCTTACCCTCCCTTGAGGTGCCTTCCTGAAGATTTGCTCTCCTATGCCTATATCATCCAAGTCCATGGGTTATCCAACCTCTTCTTGAACACCTCCAGTGATAGAATGTCCACATCCCTAGGAAGTCTGTTCTACTGCCTCACTGCCTACTGTTCTAACAGTAAAGAAGTTTTTCCAGATATCCAATCTAAACTTACCTTGCTGCAACTTCAAGGCATTGGTCCACATCTTCTTCTCTGCAGAAAGAGAGAAACAGTGCTTTCCCTTTTTATGACAGTCCTTCAAGTATTTGAAGACTGTTGTCATGTCCCCTCTCAAGCACCTTTTCTGCAAGCTGAGCATGCTTACCTCGTTCAGCATTTCCTCATATGACTTGCTTTCCAAACTCTTTATCATCTTGTTGCTCACCTCTGGACCCTCTTTAACTTCTCCATGTCCTTTATAAAATGTGGAGCCCAGAACTGAACACAATACTCCAGATGAGGTCTAACCAGTGCTGAGTAAAGAGGCACTATCACCTCCTATGTCTTATGCCCAATGCTTCTATTTATGCACCCCGAACCCACATTTGCTTTTGATGTGGCTGCATCACTCTCATAGGATATGTACAGACGTTTAAAAAGCCCAAGGCAGAATTGATTTAACTTATGCACTTTTGTGTAAGCGGCATAGCTTGAATCAGTAGCAAACAGAACACACATTCGCCCTTTGGGTAGGGGGAGCAAATCTTAGATCAGGTTCCACCATTTTGAAATCAGTCTAGTGTATGCTGAGCTTCTGTTCTTTTACAGTATAGACCGGTTGCCAATACCTGTAAAAGTGTAATGTTTGTACCTAGCCATACTGAGTCTATGATATATCAAGACTCCTAGATCCTTCTCCATAGTGCTGCCATCCAACCAGGTATCACTCATTTTGTATTTGTGTTTTTTATTATTCTTTCTGAGGTGTAGCACCTAGCATTTGTCCACATTGAACTTCACCCTGTTAGCTCCAGCTCAGCTTTCCACTCTGTTGAGATCCTTCTGAACTGCACTTGCATCCTCCAACATGTATGCAGTCCTTTCCAGTTTTGTGTTATCCACAAGCTTGCTGAAGAAGCTTTCTATGTCAGCATCCAAATCATTTATAAACATGTTGAACAGCATTGGGCCCAAGACAGACCATTTTAATTGCACTCCCATCCTCCAATAAAGTTCCCCCACTTCTTATATCCAACCTTATGTCCAACCTAAAACTTCTTTACTGATAATTAAGCTATTTTTCTTCCTATCCCTTATGCAATGGCCTTGAAGATTATTGGATCACCTCACCCTTCATGACAGCGCTATACATATTGAAAGGATTACAAAGCTCCCAGTAAGGCTGCTCATTCTAGACTAATCAAGCCTGATTCCTTCAAATTTTCATCATAGAGCATGAGTGCAACAGAATGGATTACCTCCATGTCATATATACTATATAGTTAATACCAAAGAGAATGTGATTTTTTTTTTATAAACATCAGACTGTACACTTCTACGTGAGACACTTTACTTGAGATTAGAGCTCATTACTGAACAGCAAGTGTCACTGTCTACAAATGCAGACACTTAGTGCACAGTAATTTGCTCTAACCATGAGTAAATTTGCTACGTGTAAATACAAGTAGCAAATTGACCCATGAGTAGTTAATGTGCAGTATGGCATGTGTAGACAGCCAACCCAGAGCAAACTTGTTCCTGGTCAGCTGGGCAGAAGGGGGTGGGAAATTGCTCCTTGCCTTGGGAGCTGCCTGCTGCTGGGGAAGACTGCCACTGGAGCTCAATGTCCCTCTGCCCTGGCAGCAGGGAGCTTCCAGCCCCACTTCTCAATCATGATCTCAGAGCGGGGGCTGGGAGCTTGTTCCCAGATTCTGCTCTGTGATCACAGAACTGGGGCTGGGAACTTGTTTCTGGGCCCTGCTACATGATTGTGATCATAGAGCAGGGGTGGGAACAGGCAAGGAGACTTTTCTCAGCTTCTGCTACACAATCACAGAGCAGGGCTGGGAACAAGCTCTCAGCCTCTGTTCTATGATCATGATTTCAGAGTCGGGGCTGGGAGCTCCCTGCATGGCGAGAGTTCCTGGCCCAGCCTGGAGGTACCTGGGACTGCCTCTGACCAGGACAGTTCCCAGCCAGCCCTGTGCTCTGTGGGGAAATCTGCATGTACAACCTGTATGTGGCTGGGAACTGTCCCATTTCAGCCAGTCCCCAGCCAGCTCTAGACTGTACATGCAGACTTCTCTGTGCACCCCAGCACTGGTTGTGAACTGTCCCAGTCAGGGGCAGGTTCCGGCCCCATTCCCCAATCAGGTGATTCAGGCATGGGGCTTGGAAAGGGATGCAGGGAGGGTGGGGGGCAGGTCCAAGCCCCCTACCCTGATCCATCACTGGGGCTTGTAGCAGTGAGCTTCCTTGCTGGGGGACATTGTCCCCACCTGGACTCTACCATTGGGGCCCAATCTGGCAGCAGGCAGCTTCCAGAGGAAGAGAGCAATTTCCTAGCCCCTACCATGAGATAGCTGTCTCCAGGGGCGACGTGTAGGGAGTGTACGCAGGTGCACGTGCACCCCCTTCACATGCCGGTGCACCCCTGCAAAAAGGCACTGCCAACACTGTAAATGGCACCTGTGGGAGGTCGTTACTCGCCCTCCTTTCACTGGCATCTGTCGGCAGTCCATGATGGACCCTGGCTGCCACTGCAGGCAGTGCCTGCAGGTGGTCACTGATCCCTGGTTGGTGCTGGCCACCTCCCCCCCCCACCGACAGTGTCGGTGGCATCTGTGGGAGCTCCCCACTCCCTGCTGCTGGGCTCCCGCTGGCACCACCATGCTTCCGCTGCCGCCAGTACAGTTGTGCTCCCCCCCAGCCACCAGGGGCATGTGCCATTCATAGCTGTCTCGCGTCCCCCTGCTCTCTACTAGCCCTTTAGCTAGCACCCAAGGGGAGTCTAGAGCTCCCCCTGTCAGCTACAGGGGGCCAGTGTATGGCCAGATGGGGCAGGAGCAGATTACTTCGAGGAGCAGCAGATCTGCTTCTGCATCTCCATACATGTAGACTTCTGCCTGGGATGGGTTTACTTGAGAGTAATTCAAGTGTAGACGCATCCATTGATAAGTCATATTTAATCTGCAACCTAGTGTAATCCCAAATTCTTTTCTGTTTTACAATATCAGGTGACTTACTTTCTAGTTTTTATTTGGTACAGTTCATTTATGTTTCCTATTTGTAACACTTTACACTTAACTTTATTGAATTTCATCTTGTTGATTTTAAGACCCATTTCTCTTTTTTTATTATGAGTGTTTTGAATTTTGATCTTCTGCTACAAAGTGGTTGCAACCATTTGGTGTCACCTTCACACACTTCACCAATTGATTCCCTAATTTATACCACTTATAACTACTCTTCTGAAAGTCTTTCTTTTTTTCAATCAGTTCTGTACCCACATATTAGTGATGATATCTGAACCATATTCCCTTACTTTCATTATGAGAATGTCACATGGAAGTGTCAAAAGCCTTTTAAAAATAGAGATGCATCACAGCTGTTGTTTCCCCTTATCCACTAGGGCCAGTTACTGTCAAACAAAAGCTAATTAGTTTGGTTTGACATGATCTATTATTTCTAGACCTATGTTGTTTATTTCTCACTTTATGTGGTTTCTGATCATTCATACCTGTAAAAGTGTAATGCTTGTACTGGGTTAGCACTTCTTGGCCAAGCACAGAATTATACTTTTACAGGTATGATCAGAAACCAGTTTATACTCACAACAGAACAGAAGTTTGGCACAAACGGACTGGTTTTAACATGGAAAAACCCAGTCCAAGATTTCCCCTTCCCCCCACTAAGGCCAAATGTGTGTTCTGTTTGGTATCGATCTAAACTATGCTACTTACCAAAAACCACATAACTTAGACGAATTTTGCCTTGTGGGGGGTTGTATGTCTCTACCTAGCCCTTAGGGTTTTTCCTAGGTCAACAAACAGAAATGTTTGGACAACTGATTTTGTGCCAGGATAAAATGGTTTCTCCCAGGACAAATGAGACATCTGCATCCATAATATCTATCTGTCTTTCTCTCATTTTTACAACATCACTATCTCTGATTAAATCTTAAAAAGAAGCTGCTAGTGTTTTCAGAATCCTTTTTTTTAAGATTAGTATATTTAATAGCACAGTAAAGAATAATGACCCAACTACTAACAAAGGTTAAGTACTTGCATGATGTTTCCATCCCTTCATTTTCTAAAGAAGCCTAATAATAATAATTACATTTATAATAGAATTTAGTAGCACCCTAACTGTGTTTTGATTTCTAATATTAGCAGTTGATGTCATAATTGTAATTTCTTCTGATTGCGAACTGCACAGCACTTACCAGTCAGTTGGTTCTCATTTAGAGTTTCAGATGTACTATCCTTTTCAGACTGATTTGGAGGTAATGAAGCAATCTATATTTAGATATTTTTCAGGGGATTTTTGTATTTTTAGTTAAATGTTAAGTATACATTTTCTAAGCACTAAAATAACTCTCCTAATAGGCATGGAGTGCATGGAATATTTTTAAAGTGGAATTTGAGATATGAATTATTGTAAATCTGTGATCTCTCATTTCCTTTCCTCCCTTCACAAAGTAGAAAAATGAAAGTGAGCTAAATTTGACAGGCTCAGTTCTTCTGAACAGCACATTGTCCAAATTCACACATTTATGACTAATGGCTACATTTAGTGTATCAGGCAACAAAATGCCTCAAATGGAATAATTAGGTGTTGATTTGAGCAACATTAAAATTTCAGTGCTTATATCTGACAAATAACTCCACTGGCCTA